AAACCAGCCTGGAAGTGGCCAAAACCCCTCTAAAACCAACCTGGTCGACCAGCTAAAACCAGCTGACAAGTCTAGGCTGGTTTAAACTGGATTTTTCAGCAGGGTTATTACTTTTTTCTTTTATGTTTTGGTTTTTGCTATCGTTTTACCTGCTTTCTGGAACTGTTCTCGAACCCTGTCATCATGGTCAACTCCACTTGACGTCTCAAGTCTGCCAACATACAGTAAGCGGCAAGCTAACTGTAACTGCAGTAAAACCATCCAAATGGAGGTGAGTGGTCAGCTGGTTAGTGTGAAAAGGAATGGCGTCATACCGCCCCGTAGCGTTCAATTATCTCCGAGCTTAAATTTTTTTACCAGGACAGCATGCCAAACTTACGAAGAGCGTCAAGCAGCTAACTATCTAAGTGTGAACACTTGAAATAGCAAAGTGTGGCGTGTTGCACAACATTTGCATCCTGTGTTTTGTTGATGACGACATCAGCGACTAGTCGACTCGACTTTGAAGTGCACTTTAATAGTCGTTAAATTCCTAGCACACACACACATGTGCACATGCGCAAGCATGCACACACGCTAGCTCTCTGCAACTCTCACATAATTGACCACTGAAGCTAAGCAGGGCTGCGCCTGGTCAGTACCTGGATGGGAGACCACATGGGAAAGCTCGGTTGTTGTTGGCAGTGGTGTTAGCGAGGCCAGCAGGGGGTGCTCAACCTGCAGTCTGTGTGGGTCCCTAGTATAATAATGGAGAATCTATACTGCTCAGTAAGCGCCGTCTTTCAGATGCCAGGTTCAACCGAGGTCCCGACTCTCAGTGCTCATTAAAAATCCCAGGATGTCCTTCAATAAAGAGTAGGGGTTTAACCCTGGCATCCTGGCCAAATCTGCCCACTGGCCTCTTACCATCATGGCCTCCTAACCATCCCCATATCATAACTGGCTTCATCACTTTGCTCCTCTCCACCAATCAGCTGGTGTCCGGTCTGACGCAAAATAGCTGCCGTCGCATCATCCAAGTGGATGTTGCACACTGGTGCTTGATGAGAAGAGCCCCCCCCAAAAATGTGCTTTGAGTGTCCAAGTGCTATATAAATGTGAGGAATTATTATTATCACACACACACACTTATGCATGGTGTTTCTAACGCAGTGTGTTTTGTAAATCTGACATTATTCTCTCTTCCGGCTGCCGTTATCAGG